AAACAAAACCAAAGACTGCACAGCATTGCCTTGGAAATCTACCAGATCCTTCATTTCCCCCTACCCAAGCCTTTCTAGTTCTACCAGCCTCCTAGCAGCTCCTCCTCACAAAGGCCATACTCACTCATGCCTCAGAGTTCTTTGAACCTGCAGTTCTCTTTGTGCAAAGGTCTTCCCCCAGCTCTTCCAGGCATAGCTTACTTCTCAGAGAGGCCTTCCTTGCTTATACTGAATACTGTGCCTTCTCCTATTAACTTTCCATCTTCCTTATCATGCCTTATTTTTCTTCACAGCACTTACACCACCTGATAGTCATGAACTGTCTCTACACTACGAAAATGTAAGGTCCCTGATAGTAGGGACTTGCTCATTTTGGGACACTAATTCCTAGAAATGTGGTTGGTATGAAGTAAATGCATACTGCATATTGGAAGGAAGGAGCATCCTAAACACACCTGCTCTTCCATCAAGGCAAAGTCAACAATGAACTAAGAACAACTTTGCCTGTCATCTGTCTTGACCATCTATGCCAGGGGTGTCCAATCTTTGGCTTCCCTGGGCCACATTGGAAGAAGAAAAATTATCTTGGGCCATACTTAAAACACACCAACACTAATGATAGCTGATGAGTTAAAAAAGGTTGCCAAAAAGTCTCATAACGTTTTAAGAAAGTTTACAGATTTGTGTTGGGCCTCATTCAAGCAGTCCTAGATTGCATGCAGCACACAGCTGCGGGTTGGACAAGCTTGCTGAAAGCTTTTCTGCTATTAAATATCTGTAAAAGCTAGGGAATGCCTCCCAGGTTAGGTGCCACAAACTTACCCAAGAAGGATTGAAAGTTTTTTGTGAGGCCAAATAATCCGTTTAGGGCCCGGTTTATAAATACCATGTCTCAGATCCCATAGTATAGGTTGGTGCAAGAGTAACTGCAGTTTTTTGCCATTCCACTGACCAAAAAATGCAATTACTTTTGCACCAACCTAATAGTACAGTAACAAAACTCTCGTCTCTGTGGAGAGCCCTGCACTTCCCAGTACCACCACTGTGGGGGGCTACCTGCTGCTTATCCTTTGGTGTCATATGGAAAAATGTCTTCCTCAGGACGTTTTCTGACGTCCTCCCTCTCATAGCTCAATTCTAAATTATGTTTGTTTAATATACTTTTTAGAACATCATCCATTTTTCTTCGTATCACATATTACATCCAATGCCCACTGGAGATGTCTGGGTGTTCTGTGCTAGCTGACAATCTGCCACTGCTTTAGATCACTATTCTTTACATACTTGGAAAGGCTGAGGTTTTGCCTCACTAGAAGTCATTTTCACACTTCTCAGGAAGGAGTTTATAAAAAAAAGTCTTTTCATGCCATTCTGTCCTTAGTCAAGTATCCCTGGTGGAAGTTTCACCCCACCATTCCCCAAACCCTCCCCATCCCCTGAGCACCACAGTAAGTGCAGGTCTTCTTAGAACATGACATCCTACATGAAAATACTTTGGTCAAATACAGCTTTCCCTATTTGCGATTATAATTAAAGCCATTCCACTGGGCAACTCCCTGGCTGGTCTATTTTTAGTCCACCTCTGTCCACAATTATCAGCTATTTGTTTCTATGATTATCTTGTGGAGTGTCAGTAGCTCTCATTACACTGTAAGCACTATGAGACAGAAACAACATCTGCTTTGTCCAACACTGTATCTTTGGTGTCAATAAAATGCCTGATAATGATAGACGAATAATAACAGCTGAAAGGAGAAATGATTCAATTGACAGGACACGTGAGCTTAGACACAGACGTGCGCCTTCACAGTCCTTCATGTAATGTGACATGTAGGGTAATCTATTTCTCCATCAGAGACCAGATACGCTATACCAACTTTAAAAGTAACTAGCCAGTGCAATGATCTATATTTAAGTGTTACATTTTGTATTTTTATTATTAGTGTTTTGAAAATTCAACTTCCCTACTGTATTTTCCTTTGCTCATCCATACCAAAAATACACATCTTAAGTAGGAAGGGAAATGGGGGCTCCCTTTATTCTCAGCCTTCATTGTTGGCTCACTGCCCAGCTGCATATGTGCAAAACAAAGAATTGAGGAATTACTGAAATGCCCTTTCTTTTATTCATTCTGTGAGGTAGGCAGGCTTCCTCTTCTAGACAGTTTTACTATTACCTAATTAATCAGTTACGCAATAAAAAAAACTTATAAAATGCTATAGCAACATTTGTAGAATATGGTGATTATAAAAACTTAGTATAAACTAATAAAAATAGAAAATATGGGATGTCCTCAGATAATTTCTCATGTCAAACTCTCATCCCTTAAAATTTGTCATAGTAAAAACTTTGAGAAACAGTTCCATACCAATGTCTTGAGGCAGTTTTGCTTTTTAAAATTCAACAAGTTTTTGTTCCTCCATATTTGTTTTTATCAAAAAGAGAAAACTTTTTTTTAATATTATTGATTTTGATATTTTTTGGGAGAGATAATAAGTAATTTCAAGCATTTATTGAGAATTAATTGATGCTAGACATTTATATGTTCTTAATTTTCCCAATAATTTTCTAGGCTAGATCATGTTATTATCCCCATTTAATCACTAATATAAATGAAGAATTAATGAGATTAAATGACTTTCCCATTTACACAGCTGTCAGTGACAGAGCTAGGGTTCTAATGCATACATCCTTGATCCAAAATCCCATGTTCCTAATGACCATAGCACAGTCCACAGGATTTATGCTTTAAATTTTTTTTACCCAGGCTGGAGTGCAATGGCACGATCTCGGCTCACCATAACCTCCGCCTCATGGTTTCAAGCAATTCTCCTGCCTCAGCCTCCCAAGTAGCTGGGACTACAGGCGTGCGCCACCATGCCCAGGTAATTTTTGTATTTTTAGTAGAGACTGGGTTTCACCATGCTGCCCAGGATGGTCTCAATCTCTTGACCTCATGATCTACCCTCCTTGGCCTCCCAAAGTGCTGGGATTATAGGCGTAAGCCACCACGCCTGGCTGCTTTAAATTTTTGTTATTGATATGAGAAAACTGCTGAGTAACGAATGCTGCATGAAACAAACATATTCATGTAGAGATCAAATTATAGCATGAGTCTTAAAAGTTCTGCTGCAATAATTCCTTTTCCAGAAAATTAAATTTTAGCAATATACTTTATATATTATACTTTTAAAATAAAAATCCCACAAAACGATCATGGCAAACAAAAAAAATATATCACTTTTGTTTCTTTCATTAGTGAATCAACATTGTATGAAAGGTCATGAGCAGCATTAATATCTTTATCAACTTTACAATAAAGCAATTTTTATCTTACACAAAGATTGGGTTCAATTGTGTACACATACACACATATATAAAATAATATGCAAGTTTGCATGTTTTGCTAAATTTTAATTCCTAATTCTTAAAAAAATTACCATCTTATTTCTAAATTGTAAAAGAAAATAAATATCTGATTTGGCCTGCAGTTATTACTATTCAAATTTAATTGGTTCAGTTCAATCAGATGTGCCAGCAATATCAAAGAGGGTCTGGCTCCCTAATTCCTCTTTTTCCTCCACCTTTTCACTAGAGGATGGTGGGACTAGCTCCTGGCCCAATAGAGAACAAAAGAAAGAAATTACCAGGTAAGCAAGGAGTGTCTGCATCTCAAGTTTGCAGTCTAAAATGCCTGGATGCTCTGAATCATCAGATTTTAACTTGGTTAAACTGGGAAGGTGAAACTTATTTCATGTGCGGTGAAAAAACTCACTGCAGATAAAACAATATCTTGCTAATGATGAATGCACAATTTTGTAATTCATATCTGCAAAAATTTCTGTAAGTTCACAATCAAATGTTACTTCTATGTATTTATTCCCACCTTATACAAGAACCAAAACGACCACATTTACTAGCATTTTATGAGGAGGCAGTGTTTTCTGTACTCATCGATCATATTTTAATTACAGGCCTCAGTAGTAATACAGTGTCAAAGCAAAAAGTAATACAACATGAATTTTAATCCATCATTACTTCTAGGCTCTGAAGAAAAAATATATACATATGTATTTACTTTAAAAGGGAATGAGTCACTGATTATGGGCATTTTGCATTTCTATTGAGGGCTGGCTTTTTTTTTAGATTCATAGGTAGTAAAGAAAGAAAAGACAGCATGATGCCACTATAATTCGTTCTAGTAAAATTTGGGGAAAAAAAGAACTTAAAAGTAGAAAATAACTTCATGATCAGCTGCATAACTATCAAATCTAATTAAATAACTAGTGATTATTACATATAGTCAAGTGACAAAGTATCTTCTTGCCTTTTAGACCCTGGAAGGGAATATTAATATTGCATCTTGAAATATTTCCACTATATTGAGTCATCCTGTTCCTTAAAATGGCTTAGGCTTATAAGTTAATAACAGAAGCTACATGATACTATTACAGTCAAACACCTGACTTTAGAATTATTTTAACGGCAAGTTAATTTATAGGTTACTCAAAAGTGAATGATTAGATTCCAGGCATTGCCAACTTCACAACATTTTATATTATCACCGCCTAAATAAATTCCAACTAACCAACAAAGAAATATCCTGATTTACTTAAAAAATTTACACTTTATAATCTATAATCTATATCTCATAAGCAATCATGTTTAACCACAGATTGCCCTTTCCAACTGAGCACTTAAAGATGAGCATTTAAAAGCAAGTATTATTTTGCAAACTTAGATGTCTGAATTCTGACCTTATGTGACCTATGGTAAATAAAAATACACTAAGCAAAATTGGCATATAGTTACATAAACATAGGGTGAGTTCCCACTAAACTGCTCTCCTTGAAAACTGAACAGCTAGTGTCTCTCTGCATTGCTCTACACAGAAATTCTTTAGATGTAGGGTTTGCATACAATGCAAAAATGTTCAATGTAAAAAAAATGAAGTGACCTCTAGTGCTGAAATCAATCGAGACTTTGTTCATGCCTCTTACCTTTGCCATGGCCTCTCCCATCCTCCAAAAGCGGCACGACAATAGTGTTGTTCACATTTCCAGGTGACCTTACAGCTGTGTAGACAACAGGCACCGACTGTACCACCACGGGGATGCGGTGAACATGACTCAGTTTGTTAGACTGTAAATTCATGGGACTTGAAGGCGGTACAGGATGGATAATGTGCAAAAACTGCTGGCCTCCAACACCAGATGCAGAGGCAACAAGGGGACCTGGAGTTAATACTGTTGACGAAGATGACGCTGAAGATACTGATGTGATAACGGTTGGGGATGAGGCTAGACGACTAGAAGACGATGAGGAGGTTGAAGTTGAAGAAGGTGAGGAGGCAGACGCTGTCATGGAAACTGGGGAGGATGAAACGGCAGTAGGGGACGTCCTGGCTTTGTTTATTGACAAGTCCACTGGCTCAGTTTGTGTTTGGAAGTGATCTACTGATAACGAGTCCTCCGGGGGCTCCCCTTTCACATTATTTAGCAACAGGGGAACGGCTTCCATATTGGGATAGTTGTGGACGTTTGGAGACTGTGGGGAGAAAAATGGAACATATATTTATCTTTATCACACATTGTATTGATGCATGGCTTACCACTTGAATGTTTATTAACTTTTCTCTTATTTTTATGGGACATTTATTCATTCCCCAAATATGTGAAGGACTGCTCAGTGACAGTCACTGTGATTAAAACTGAGGGCACAAAAGTACAACACAGAAGACAAGGCCTCTACCATAAAGACATTTTCATTCTATTGCGACAGACAAATACTATGAAATCAGTGCTCAATGCGGGAGAAAAGAGGCCACAGGAATCTCTAGGACTCTAACCCTTACTCAACACTATCACAATACGGAAACAGACCACCTGGCAACAATAGTGGGAAAACCCACTATGACATTTCTATGTTCATACTTGGTGCAAGAGTTACCATACCAGATTCAGAATATTCTGCACATTAAAAAAGGGCATAAAGTTCTTCACCCTCCAACACCTGATCACTAATGTATTGAATGGAAGTCATTTCTAATAAGTAGCTAATCGACAACGTATGAAAAAATTTTTCTCAAAATAACATACACAACTACAAGTGACATTTTAGGAAATAACTTAAGAAAAATATTCTGAAAATTTTAATTTGTCTATAAATTTTCATTTAATTTGAAATAATGATAATATTGTTAAAGTTCACCTGCATCCTTTTAAGTTTTAATGAGCAAAATTTGGTAATAATAGACTCCAAGATTTGTGATCAGCATGCTATTTATTATTTGGCATGAATATAAGTTTACATCTATCTATCTATCTATATATATATATATATTCATTCACTAATTTAACAAACATTTATTAAATGTCTGCTTACAAGTCCCCAAACGGCACAAGAGTACTATTGGCAGTGTCAGTCTAGCCTAAAAACACAGAATTAGACTATACTGATTATTTTGGTTTTATCTGTTTGACCAGATTAACATAGACATTATTTTTCTATTATATGAGGAACAAAAACTTTTTTTCACATTTTCAGAATAATACCTAAAATGATATTAAATTGGTTCATTTTGATTCTCATTTAAGAAAAGATTTTGGTTTGCTATTCCCCCTAAAACTTCAGCATACATTAAAAATAAACAAAATATGCTTCTTAAAGCCTTTTTAAAATAGAATATAAATTACAGCTCCATTCAAAACAGAAAATAGGAGTGCAAGGGCATTTCACTCAGCAACTGAGAAAATAAAAGAAAATACTTAAGTAATGGTCCAAGATCAGCTAAAATGGGAAATGGGTTGACGTTTGCATACTTTTTTTCCTTTTTCTTAGCTGACTTGGTTACTTACCTACAAAAACATATGAATTAGAAACAAAGTGAATCATCTAAAATATCTACTGTATGAAATTCTAAATGACAAGATTTTCAGTTTATGTGCTAACATTGAGATATAATTTTTTTTTACTCTTCTCAAAGACATTTAAAAAGCAAATAAAAGAGGTGTGGGTCGAATAGGAACAGCTAATAAAAGAGAAGGCTGAATAGGAACAGCTCCGGTCCGCAGCTCTCAGTGAGATCAATGCAGAGGATGGGTGATTTCTGCATTTCCAACTGAGGTACCTGGCCTATCTCACTGGGACTGGTTAGAGAGTGGGTGCAGCCCACAGAGGGCGAGCCAAAGCAGGGTGGGGTGTTGCCTCACCCAGGAAGTGCAATGGATTGGGGAACTCCCTCCCCTAGCCAAGGGAAGCAGTGAGGGACAGTTCCGTGAGGAAGAGTGCATTCTGGCCCTATGCTTTTCCCATGATATTTGCAACCCACAGACCAGGAGATTCCCTCAGATGCCTATGCCACCAGGGCCCTGGGTTTCAAGCACAAAACTGGGTGGCCATTTGGGCAGACACCAAGCTAGCTGCAGTTTTTTTTTTTTTTTTTTTTTTCATACCTCAATGGCGCCTGAAACAACAGCGAGACAGAATTGTAAAAGGGGGCTGAAGCCAGGGAGCCAAGTTCTAGCTCCATGGATCCCACCCCCATGGAGCCCAGCAAGCTAACATCCACTAGCTTGAAATTCTCACTTCCAGAACAGCAGTCTGAAGTCAACCCGGGATCTCAAGCTTGGAGTGGGGAGAGGTGTCTGCCATTACTGAGGCTTGAATAGGCGGTTTTCCCTCAGTGTAAACAAAGCCATTGGGAAGTTCAAACTGGGTAGAGCCCACCACAGCTCGGCAAAGCTGCTGTAATCAGATTGCCTCTCTAGATTTCTCCTCTCTGGACAGAGCATCTCTGAAAAAAAGGCAGCAGCCCCAGTGAGGGGCTTACAGATAAAACTCCCATCTCCCTGGGACAGGGCATCAGGAGGAAGGGATGGCTATGGACACAATTTCAGCAGACTTAAATGTCCCTGCCTGCTGACTCTGAAGACAGCAGTGGATCTCCCAGCACAATGCCTGAGCTCCGCTAACGGACAGACTGTCTCCTCAAGTGGGTCCCTGACCTGCATGCCTCCTGACTGGGAGACACCTTCCAGTAGGGGTCAACAGACACATCATACAAGAGAGCTTCAGCTGTCATCTGGTGAATGCCCCTCTGGGATGAAGCTTCCAGAGGAAGAAACAGGCAGCAATCTTTGCTGTTCTGCAGCCTCTGCTGTTGATACCCAGGCAAACAGGGTCTGGAGTGGACCTCCAGCAAACTCCCGCAGACCTGCGGCAGAAGAACCTGACTGTTAGAAGGAAAACTAACAAACAGGAACAGCATCAACATCAAGAGGACATCCACTCAGAGACGCCATCCGAAGGTCACCAACATCAAAGACCAAAGGCAGATAAATCCACGAAGATGAAGAAAAACTAGTGCAAAAAGGCTGAAAATTCCAGAAACCAGAATGCCTCTTCTTCTCCAAAGGATCACAACTCCTCGTCAGCAAGGGAATAAAACTGGACAGAGAATGAGTTTGACAAATTGACATAAGTAGGCTTCACAAGGTGGATAATAACAATCTCCTCCGAGCTAAAGAAGCATGCTCTAGCCCAAAGCAAGGAAGGCAAGAACCTTGAAAAAAGGCTAGAGGAATTGCTAACTAGAATAACCATTTTAGAGAGGAACTTACATGATCTGATGGAGCTGAAAAACACAGCATGAGAACTTCATGAAGCATACACGAATATCAATACGTGAATCAATCAAGTGGAATAAAGGATATCAGAGACTGAAGATCAACTTAATGAAATAAAGCATGAAGACAAGGTTAGAAAAACAGGAATGAAAAGGAATGAACAAATATAGGACTATGTGAAACGACCTAATCTACATTTGATTAGTGTACCCGAAAGTGACGGGGAGAATGGAACCAAGTTGGAAAACACTCTTCAGAATATTATCCAGGAGAACTTCCCCAACCTAGCAAGACAGGCCAACACTCAAATTCAGGAAATACAGAGAATGCCACAAAGATACTCCTAGAGAAGAACAACTCCAAGACACAAAAAGTCATCAGATTCATCAAGGTTGAAGTGAAGGAAAAAATGTTAAGGGCAGTCAGACAGAAAGGCTGAGTTACCCGCAGAAATTTCAGCAGATCTCTCCGCAGAAACCCTAAAAGCCAACAGAGAATGGGCGGCACGGGGGCAGGGGGGGCAATATTTAACATTTTTAAAGAAAATAATTTTCAGTCAAGAATTTCATATACAGCCAACCTAAGCTTCATAAGCAAAGGAGAAATAAAATACCTGACTTCAAAGCATACTACAAAGCTACGGTAACCAAAACAGCACGGTACTGGTACCAAAACAGATATATAGACCAACAGAACAAAACAGAGGCCTCAGAAATAATGCCACACATCTACAACCATCTGATCTTTGACAAACCTGACAAAAACGAATAATGGGGAAAGGATTCCGTATTTAATAAATGGTGTTGGGAAAACTGGCTAGTCATATGCAGAAAACTGAAACTGGACCCCTTCTTTACACCTTATATAGAAATTAACTCAAGATGGATTGAAGACTTAAATGTAAGATCTAAAACCATAAAAACCCTAGAAGAAAACCTAGGTAATACCATTCAGGACATAGACATGGGCAAAGACTGCATGATTAAAACACCAAAAGCAATGGCAAGAAAAGCCAAAATGGACAAATGGGATCTAATTAAACAAAAGAGCTTCTGTACAGCAAAAGAAACTATCATCAGAGTGAACAGGCAAACGACAGAATGGGAGAAAATTTTTGCGATCTATCCATCTGACAAAGGGCTAATATCCAGAATCTACAAAGAATTTAAACAAATTTACAAGAAAAAAAGCAAAAAAACCCATCAAAAAGTGGGTGAAGGATATGAACAGATATTTCTCAAAAAGAAGACATTTATGCGGCCAACAAACATATGAAAGAAAGCTCATCATCACTGGTCATTAGAGAAATGCAAATCAAAACCACAATGAGATACCATCTCGTGTTAGAATGGTGATCATTAAAAAGTCAGGAAACAAAAGATGCTGGAGAGGATGTGGAGAAGCAGAACGTTTTTACACTGTGGGTGGGAGTGTAAATTAGTTCAACCACTGTGGAAGACAGGGTGGCGATTCCTCAAGGATCTCGAAAAAGAAATACCATTTGATTCAGCAATCCCATTACTGGGTACATATCCAAAGGACTATAAATCATTCTACTATAAAGAAACATGCACACACATGTTTACTGCAGCACTGTTCACAATAGCAAAGATTTGGAACAACCTAAATGCCCATCAATGACAGACTGGATAAAGAAAATGTGGCACATACACACCATGGAATACTATGTAGCCATAAAAAAAGATGAATTCATGTCCTTTGCAGGAACATGGATGAAGCTGGAAACCATCACTCTGAGCAAACTAACATAGAAACAGAAAACCAAACACCGCATGTTCTCACTCTTAAGTGGGAATCGAACAATGAGAACACATGGAAACAGGGAGGGGAACATCACACACTGGGGCCTATCGGGAGGGTTAGGGACTAGGGGAGGGATAATCCGCATTAGGAGAGACA